AAATTTTTTGAGAACGTTGAGGACTAGAAAAATGTTCTCAGTGAGAACATAAAATCAAAATTGAATTTCACACACTGCACGTAACGAAAACCATCTCTTTCTATTTTCGGCTTCATAAACCCCTTTTAAAAGATTAAAAAAAAAAAAAAATTAATGAAGTAAATAAAGTGGTTATTTTATAGTGAATTCATATTATACCGTACTACTGTCGTATCTAAAGTTACCATCTATCTGAAGTTGCAACTTTAGATATATAAGGTTAATCTGACTAAAATTAGGCCCTGAATTAGATCTTCATACATATAATTCCGGTTAGGTGCAACTTTATATAACTAAAGTTGCAACTTCAGATAGATAGTAACTTTAGATACGACAATATACATTATTGGGCAAATTTGTGAATAACTGCACATTTGTCCGGTTGAGCCAAATTGCCGTTATTCACAAATTTGCCCAATAATGGGAGTCATTCGCTGAGTTTTTTTTTTTTTTTGAATATTGGAAAAACATAATTACATCGTAACACATGAAAAAAAAATAACAGAAAATTTTTCATGATCATGAGTTTGTCGGATAAATGATCATTAATTATAGTATAGAATATTGCAGTTTTATTATGTTATTTTCATAATCAAATTATAGGCTTTCTTCCATTACAGCATTACAAGAGTATGTATATTCTTGATATTGGTGACGATTCTGAATATAAATGGATTACATCATTCGACCCTAACCCATCATCAAATCCGATTCTTGCCTACTTTATCAGTGGTGTAAAAGAAAACATCCACATGCGATTCCAACTCATGGAAGTTAGCTTAAACTACATAATAATCACTGGAAATTTTACCATTTTTATTGCAAGCAAAAATTAATAGTATGCATTTAAAATTTGTTAAAACTGGAATGCAACATGTGACTCATTGATATTTTTGAACCTTGACTTTTCGATACCAGTCATTAATATGGAAAACCCACAATACTGTATATTACTTTGTTTTATTTTAAAATAATAGTCTCTATTAATATAACGCCTGAAAGTGATTTGTTTAGCTCAAATTCCCATTCTTTTAAAAATATAATAATAAAATATAATAATAATAAAAAATAAAAAATGTTCTATTAATGATAATGCGGATAAATTTAATATACAAGAGAAATTTTTTATTTTGAATTACAATTCTTGATGTTTGCTACAATAAAATAAAAAAAAAAAGTTAGAAATAGAAAACACAAATAAATAATATATTTAACTTTATAATTTACCTAAACTATCTTTAGAACCTGGTGATTTAAATGGATTAGGTTGTATATTTTGAATTTCAGTATTTCTCATAATAATATCTCTCATAGTAGCATTTTTAATTAGTTTAATTTCATCGCTTGTATATTTTGATCCTTCATACCAAAATCTATCAGCACTTCTTTTTCGAAGAAATTCCTCTTTCATAATTGCGGTAATTGTTGGTGGTAAAGGAGTAGTTTTACCTTTACTCTCGGCAAACATTCCAATTATTGCATCTATTTTATTGACTTTACCATAAATTTGTTGTAAAATTTTTGCTATTGTTAGGTTATTAGTAATTACATTAAAGCAGTCTACAGAATCTTGCTCGCTTGATCTATTACAACTTTGATTATTGTAAACGCTTCCCGCAGGATGATATACAGAACGGAATGTGTCATAATCCGGAAGACCGAGTAAACGACCTTTTAATTAGAAAGAGATAAGTTAAGCACTATTAATAGTCAGCGTAATCAATCTAACATTGTGTGATTAATTTACGATGTAATAGGTTAGAGTCAGATTGATACGTATATACTATATATTTTTAGTACAGTAGTAGGTTAGTGATCAAAAATTTTGCCTTTTCGAGTAACCCGAGCTTCCGGAATTAACCAAAATCACCAAATTTCACTAATAAACCACCTGCTAACATACTAAGTAAAAAATTGCTCAGATTGGAATTTTGCCACGTATCATATAGTTGACCATTTTTTGGACATCACTTACTACAATTTTTTTTAATTTCTTCAATTCACGCAAAATTTTTCAAAATTTAGTACATATAATAATTCAAATAATACGATAAAATTTTTTTAAATTAATTCGTGTTTTTTTTCGTTTCTATTATAAGCACCTTGCAACAGAGAATTTCCGAATTGGAAGCTGAGAATACTCAATTGAGAAGTATATGTTAATTAATTATCATAATGACTTCTAAAGCCAAATAACGTTCTTAATACGTATTATTATGATCCTTGCTCATAATTTTCCTTTGACGTAATTTAGATTTAGTTATTCATGTTAGAAGACTATAAATGGTGTATAAGCAATGCGAAAAAAGTTAGTAAGCCCTCTAATAAAATCAAATACGAAGATAAAACTTGTTTTTGAACGTATGCCCATGTTGCCATGAACGTTGATTATTAAGTACTTACCATCTTGGGTTAGATCTTTTTAGTTATCTTTTTAGTAGTGAAAGTCACATTAATTAGACCCTCAACAACAGTAAGCATACAAATTGCATCTCAATTTGATAATTACGAGAAGAGATCTCATTAGAATTTATATTTCTAGTAAAATTCATTCTTTCATATTAAAGATAAAGTCGTGTTGAATCATTTCAATAAAGAAGAAATCAAAGAAATAGATTAGACACCAGGTCTAGTCATTACCGAATTAGATGAAAACATATTAAATTGTCTAAGTAAATTTGTTGGTAAGGTAAATATAGTAATCTCTCTTATATCTTATTAATTTATCTATTGTTAAATGCACTTGTATTTCGATAATTTTTAAACTTTTTCCCTGGTAAACCAATATAATAGAATTAGAAAAATACTTAAGGAAATTAGCTTCAATAACAAGTATAATCTTAAAAAAAATCATGATAATTTTATTAATGACACTACCACTACCGCAAAGAATTTGAAAAACTCTACATCCAAAATCAACAGCTGTATCTTAATGCTGGCATGAAATCATAAAATTATTTTACAGAGTCCGAGAAAGAGTAGAATCCAATAATAACCTTGAAACATAGTTTAGTTTCCTTTATATTAGACCAAGTACTCAGAGACATAAAAATTATTTTAGTCATGGGTAAAGTTAAAAAATATGCTTAAAAGAAAAAAAGAAATATCGAACTAATCAAGCTACATCATCAAAAAGGGTAAAATCTATTTCTCCAGGTAATACAATGATTGATTTTATTTTATTTATGTATTTTTATTTATTTATTTTTTTATTTATTTATTTATTTTTATTGTTTTTGGGGGAGTTTTTTTTGTTAAAAACAGCTTTTTATTTGCAATTTGAGAGAGTTCAAATCCCAAAAAATAAAAATATAAGTGGAAAGACAAATATGTTACTAAATTTTTAAAAGTCAGTATTGAACTTCCAAAGAACTTAAAAGACATGGCAAAGAATTTGATGGAAATGGTTAAATAGAATTTAGCAATTATAAAGAACAAAAATCTATCTTTAATATTGTCATCACAATGTGACTCGAGAAATGCTTTAACCTGTGAATTAGAGATTTTGATCAACAACTTGAACCCAAAACAAAGGAACATCATAAACATTATTGTTGAAGGTTGTTCTAAAGGTTTAAACATGTGGAGAACAATCAAAGTAAGATTACAAGTCATTGAAAACTTTAGATAACAAACTCGAAAGAGAAGATGAAGAGCTTTTAAATAGAAAATGCTTTTATTGATATAGAGAAAAAAAGAATACAAATTTTAATATTAAGGCTAATGATTGTAATACTTTATCTCGATAACTTCAAAGATATATTTGTAAGATTCATTGTAGTAAATTAATGGAGATACAGATACACCAGAAAAGTTTTTTTCTATTCTAACCATATTCGAGTCACGGGGTATGGTGATTTGAGATGTTTTTATAAATATTCTTATGTGCCTCTTCCTCATATATAAGTGCCGAAACCAACTACTTCTAATTCTGCTTAGAGTTTGCATATTGCCATATGTATCAATCTTTATTTTGCGCCACACCAGTAACGGTAAGTTCAATCAAACCTGGAGAGATGAGAGCCTAATACTGAAAAAATCAGAAAATTATTAGAAGGGTCCATTTTAGCAATTTTCAAAAAAAAAATTTTTTTTTTTTTTAACTATTAAATATACAATATTTAAAAATAAGACAACCTATACATATTTCCATCCCTTGTAGGTAGATGCGCGCAATACCGTAATTGGTCGTAATCTGTAATTATAATGAATTACGATATAATTCATTAGAATTACGGCATTGCGATCATCAATACTCATGGGCATAAGAAAAAATTATACAGGCCAGTTGAAAAAGAATTCAAAATGAAAAATGAAAATATATATAAATAATTCTACTATTATAACCACAGCCCTAACATTTTTAGCCCTTAATTTTTAAGCATCTTCTTTCAAAATAAAGATATTAAAGATTATTTTAAAATTAGCTTTCTAGCACTTATTTGAGACTAAAAATGTAAAAGCCCTTAAAAAATATAAGCATATAAATAAGTAACCCGACAATTAATTTGTATTAGTCAATCAGAAAACTTCTGCTCATGAGTCTAAAGTAAGATTGGACATTCATGGATTACAATAGCTACAATTGCTAAAGTTTAAGAATACTTTTTCTTATTAGATTAAATTCTGTTCAATGTTTCGAAAATATTTTGGCTTGCAAAACATCATTGGTAAACTCTTATCGAAACAAATCAAATTTCGGTTTTTTGTAAATTCATATTGTTTGCTGAGCGTCTGTAAAGATTTCTATAATACTGTAAATCGCTAACTTGTTATCGGTGCTCTGATTGTCGTCCCATCATGTGATTTTAAGTGATTTCTTAGCCAAAATTCAATATAAATGCATTATTTTATAATCTTTGTTAGACATAGTTATACTCGCTAAAAACGATGTAGAAAATTTGTTTTTATGATTATTGAAATCAGAAAATGTCTTATAGTACCATTTTCTCTAAGAATTTTTATTATTTGGGATATACTTATTGTTCTGGCAGAAACAAAATGTAAAGCTATATTTCAAATTGGACAATCATAGGTTTTTTTTTTTTTTTTTTTATGCGTAATGACGGTGGTTTGGTGAATGTAGGTAACGGATAGTTCATCATTCCATAGAACTTTTTTGTTCAACTTGCATAGTTTAGTTATTTTGAGTCAGTAACGACCTTCTTGTTTGTATTATCTATTCTGTTTCTATTCTGTTTTATTATTATATTAAAATGAATTAGACAATTTAAGGTATAATTCGCGTCAGATTAAAATCATTATAATTCCGCTAATACATAAATAACTTAGGCATCTAATAAAACTACAGTTAAATTTTGATCTGACGCAAATTTTAATCTGATGTCGACCAATGTATAAATACTGCATTCAACTGTTCTGTTTATGATTATCATCATCACTGTTTTAAATACTACGTTCAACTAAGCAAAAACTGATTTATTCAAAAAAAGATTTGCTTTAATTAAAATTTTAAGAGTGCATCGGTAGTTTATATTGAAATAAATAAAAAAAATTAACTATTGACAAAAAAAATCTACACATAAGCTCATCTTTAAATACAAGCGCTTTACTGCTCAATGTAATTCTTTTTGGATTCATACCAAAAAATAATATCGAACTAACGCCCACTTACGCATTAATTAATTGACCTGCGCGTTATTTCGAGTACGCGCATGTGAGTTATTTCTAATTATAATAAATAATATTTATTTATAATAAAAATTAAAAAGTGCTCCGGGATTGGGTTTGGCATTCTTCAGTTCTAGACTATTCTAATGGTAGTAAAATCATTAAACGGTCCATTAGTTCACCCGCAATGGCACTTCAAAATTCTGCGACGTTTGTTCGCAGATCATGCAAACAAAGGTGTAAACAAACGTTGCAAAATTTTGAAGAAACATTGCGGGCGAACTATTGAACCGTTATTGATGATTTTACTACCATTTGAGTTGTCTCTACTGAAGAACAACTTTATTAAAGTCAAAAAAATAGGTTTACTGGTTTTTATTTTATTTACCTTTTTTTATTTATTTTTAATTTTTTTTTATATTTATTTATAAGGATACGCGTTAATTCGGGGCGCCCATGGGCGCTAATTTGAAGCTACATACTGTATATTGTTTTAGGTGTATCTAATTTTTAAATTAACTTTTTTTCTTAAAGACGAATGTATTTATTTTTGGGTTTAATGCTTTTTTTTTTACACTTTAACGTACTACTAGAAAAAACACTATTTGCATTTTAACATACTACTACTAAAAAATACCTTATTTCGCATTTAACATACTATTAATCGGATTTTATAATAATGAAATATACAGGATGAATTTAGAGTTCCTATCCATTATCCGTTTATTCATTTATCTATCGGATATCCAGATCTGAATTTATTCGGATATCCGTTTTTTTTTTTTTTTTTTTTTTTTTAAGTGAGGTCTTTTCCTCAGTTCCTTTATTATTTATTATGCAGATTTTTACA